AAACATTGTTCCCATATAATTGCACATTATTTCCCCATTAGAGAGACCGGGAGTAGTCAAGAGGCCTTAGGCCTTAGTCAAGAAGAAAAGCATAGGAGGCCAGCTCTGTGCCGGATGTGTTCTCTCCTGGGGTGGGTTTTCCTTTTCTGTAATTACTAAGTAAGAATAAAAGGTATATATTGTAGGTGTACACTCTGTACATTTGGGGGCCGGTTATTTTTTGGCTTATTCTTGTGAATTATTTATTATGGAAAGACATAAGTGTCATAGTCAAGAAATCTGTTTCTGTAAACCTTTCCTTAGCAGTTTTGAGAGATTTCTGCCCTCATTCCTGCTTTTAAAATTGACTTCCAAACTTTTATTTTGGACTTAATGATTACAAGTGTATTTGTTACATAAACATTGTTCTGCAGATTGTCTCCTATGGCCTTGTCCACAAACAGTGGTAGATTTTTTTTTAGTCTTTCACTTTAGCACACCTGAGTCAACATTTTTCTATGATACAAGGTTTACATATTATGTTGTAATCACATCTCCATTGTCTTGGATCTCTTGTCTTTTCTGTGCTGGTGATGGACACTACCTTCTCCCACATGCCCAGGTGAAAAACCCAACATCATCTCTCTCTCTCTTTTTTTTTTTTTTTAATTATGGTAAATATATAGGTAGGAGTCTCCCTGGATGGTGCAAATGGTTAAGCACTCTTTGACTAGCCAAGAGATTTGCAGGTTGAACCCACTAGAGACACCTCAGAAAACAGGTCACAGCAGCTGACAACAACAGGTATATAGGCAATAAAACACTTGTCATTTCTATAATCTTCGCAGGTATGGTTTAGTGACTTTAATTATGTTCATCATGTTCATCCATCACCATTAACTGTTCCCGAATTTTTCCAGCACCCTTAACAGAGGCTTAGGGTCCTCTAAGCATTGCAGGGTCATCTTTTTAGGGTGTCCCTCCCTCACTCCCTACATCCCACCAAGACCATTATTGTCCTATTGATTCTACATCTTGTAAACTCTTGGAATCTGTTCCCTCCTCTTCATTTCCACTGCTCCCTCCTTAGGTCAGGCCCTCATCTTCTCCCAGGCCACTAAAGCCGCCTCTTTACTGATTTTAGGGTTCAGATCTAGAGTCTCCAGTCTGTCCTCTTGACCACAACTGCAGTTGTGTAGTAAATTACTTGGTATGGCTTTTCTAGCCATAAGTCTTTGTAAACTCCATGGTGGAATTTTCTGTGAGCAACTGAGGAGCTCTTGATTGTTAAAGTTATCCACCTGGGGTATTTCTGTTGAGAGTGGCCCAAAGCAATGTTCTAGGAAGTTTGCTCTCAGGTGCTTAGAATTCTAATGTAATGGTTGGTTAGTCTGGCCACTCTGCTAGGCTCAAAAGGAGCCCTCCTAGAGGCAAAAAGTCTCTGACTGCTGACTGAGAAAGATGTGCTGCTGAGAGAAACACACTCCTGAGAGACGTGCTGCTGAAAAAGAGACACCAAGAGACACATTAATGGGAGAGAGGAACCGAGAGACACACACTGCTGGGACAGAGACTGAGGGAGACTATTGGCTGAGAGACGGTGGGCTGAGAGAGACTGTGTGTTGCTCCTGAACTTGAATCATAGCCTGTTGCTTCCCTAATAAACCCCATAATCTGTGAGTTCTTTGTGGCCATTGCAGCGAATTATCAAACCCAGCAAAGAGGTGGTGGGTGCTGCAGGAGGTGTTGGGGTTAATGAAAGGTCTGGAGGGAATAGGCCTCAGGCTATTGATGGTGATTCTGTCTTCCTCTTGTGGGGTTAGAGGAAGTCAGAAGATGTGGCCTCCCTGCCTCTACGGCATGCAGCTTTTGTCACATTGTGAATTTGATCACAGTCCCACCATACCCTCTCCTCATCCTTTCTAGAAGGAATGACAGTGTTATTTATAGTGTCTACTACAATTTGAGGGAGCTCTGGTAGCGTAGTGCCTCAGGCACTTGACTGCTAACCAGAGAGCTGGCGGTTCAAACCCACCAGCCACTCCTCGGAAGGAAGATGGGGCAATCTACTTCCGTAGTGATACTGCCTCGAAAACCCAAGGTGGGGTCACTATGAGTCGGGTCCGACTCGACGGCACATAACAACAACAACACTACAATTCAAAAGATTTATATATATATTTCTAATTGTTGCAATTTTTATATTACTTCTGCAAGGTGGGTGCTGTTCCCCTATAGTCAAGGTAACTAACTGATGGTCAGAGATCTTGGATAACATGCCCAAAGGCACAGTCAGAGATGGACTGAGTCTGGCATAAGAACCCAGGTCAGTCTGTCTCCAAAACCCAATTGCATTTCCTTTTTTATGCTTCCCTCACTCCTTGGCATTGCATTCAAGGACATTCATGATGTAGCCAAGTATATATTAAAAAGGTGGATTTTTTTTTAATGGAATGGTAACTTCCCAAATAAGTAAATATTTAAAAGAAATTAAGACTTGACTTTGCATTCATGAGAGATATGAATGAGGCTGCATTTCCATCACCCTAGCGTGTAGGATACTTTAATTCTTAATGGTAAATAGTTAACACTTCCTACTAGAAACTATTCAAAATGCTTTCTATTCAACCATCACAAAACACATGGACAAAAAAAACACATGAAAACGGTGGTCAGTAAATTATGGCCAAGGTTATTGGCCCTTAACATTTTCATAGGATTTAAAAAAGTGAAGAAGACAAAGAATATGCTGCAGAGTATGTGGCCTGCAAAGCCTAAGACAGATACTGTCTGGCCCTTTATAGCAACAGTTTGCAGACCCATGGCATTAAAAAAAAAAAGTGTTTCCTAACTTGTTCTGGCATAGGACATTGTGTATGAGGGATGTAGTTTTCAGCCTCCTTCAAGGAAGAAATTAGCATTCTTAATAAAATGCTTAAGTAATTTTCTGATAAACTATGAAGGGATTAAGATTTGTTCTGAGAAACCAGTCTTCTACCCACTCAGGTGACTGTCAGTCAAGAATCGTTAACTAAACATTCTTTTTGTGTCTTGTCTAACAATGATTACATAACCATTTCCTCCTATCAGATGCCTATACCGAGAGTAAGTCTTTGGATTGGTTTCTTAGGGGTCTTTTCTTGGGCAATAGGATTATAATACAACTTTGACATATGCTTATCATTATTAAGTTTTTTTTTTTTTTTTTAAACTGGCAGCAGTTTTGAAGTTTTAGGAAAATTTCTTCAAACACATTCATGTATAAGTTACCCATGAAAGAGCAGCAAGGGCAACAAGGACTTCAGACATGTCTCCTGTAACACCACATGCCAACACTACACGACACAGACAGCATCTGCAGAAAAAGGCTGTGGCTTCAAGTTTCAACCAAAGGGATCCTTCACATGCAAGGGCAGCAGAAATGTACTTCCAACGACACCACACTCAGAAAGATGCTTACGGACCTTTGGTAGAAAAGTTACTAATAGATGCATTTCGACTACCTCATAGATGAATGAAGACAGTCTAGAACAGAGAAGTTGTGGTTAAAAAAGGCCTAGCAGTGAGCTATGAAACCTGTTATTCTCAGAGTGAAGTCTAAATAACTAATTTTAGTTATAAATATTAATGAAAACTGTAAGAGAAAAAAACACTTTCATACTTGGAACCACCTCCCTTTCTACTTTGATCTAAAAATCTCAGAGTATATCAGCCGGGTGATCACAAATCAGGAAGGGTAGGTGGTTGGCACGAGGAATGTGTGTAGAAAATGACCAGAGAGTAACTATGAGAGGAGAGGCATGAAAATGCTAGAGAGATCTCACAGGAGGTAACTAAAGTGCAAATGATTGATGGAAAAACCCACTTCCCCACAAAGGACACTTCTGGCTTTCTTGAAATTTAAATTAGCATCAGAGAACAATATTTTGTATGTAATGCACAGCTGAGACCAAGATTAAGGCCATGTTTGGACTTTGCTTAGTAAAATCTGAAGGGGTGCTTCCAATCACAGCATGGACATGACAAGGTCTGGGAATACTGTTACAAAGAACTGTGCTTCAGTTATCTTTGGTATCAAGGAACCTACCACTTTTCCCCCTGCAATACTGGAGAAATCAAAATTATGATGACATCATATTGAGAGAATATTTCAGACTTTAAAAGGCGAAGTGCTGGGTATGGAAAAATATTTGTAAAATCTCATTTTACAGATAAACAGTTACCATGAAAAACTCTTAAGTATGTTCTTAAGTAAAGAAAGGAGTCCTGGGTGGTACAAATCGTTAACTCACTTGGCTGCTCACAGAAGGTTGACGGTTCAGGTCCACTGCAGAGGCATCTTAGAATGGAAAGCTCTTGAGTATGTTCATGAAAGAAACAAAGGGAGCAGAGTGGGACACAGCACAGTGGTTCGGTTTGTCTTCAATGCCATACTTTCCTCTCTGTCTTGAGGGTGCGTATTGCTGCCTCCCGTGATATCCATACTCTGTAAACTAGAATTAGTCAATCCAAACTGGTTTGTCTGTGTGGCTGAGCCTAAGCCATTCCCTGGCCCACCTGTGCAAGTGTGGAATGTGCCTTTTGGGAGTGCCTGCCTCTCTCAGCCTAGGTGTTTTTCCTTCCTTCCACACCCTGATGCTATGGTATGTCTGCTTGATGGTTCCACGTGTTTCTGCCAGGCTTGTAGCAGCCTTGCCTGGTTTTTAATGCAGATGCTGAGGTCCCTACGTTTTCTTTACCCCTAGCTGTTAAAGTGGGAATAAGCAGGGTGTTGTTTAGGGGGTGAGGTGCAATATGCCTGTGCTCACATCCCTGTCCTGCTACTGCGTTCTCCTTATTCTCCTGTAAAAGTTCTCTGCACTAAGCATCGCATGATTAAACATTCCTTTTATCAAAACTATGATTTTAGAAGCTTTTCTGTACACTTTGCTCTTCCCTTAAGCATCTGATTTGCATGTATTTATTATTCTAGGTTGGCAACAGAAGTGATTCAAATCTTTATATAAATGTGAAGCTGAAGGCTGCTGAAGAGGTAAAATCCTAGACCGGGGTGCCACCCCCCCCCCAACCCATGCCTCCACCCCAGTCCTGTCTTTCATCCCTTGCCCTTTGTGCCTCTCCCCATTAAAACTTCACCACTCAAAGCAGATTTGATTTTGTAAGTCAGAAATGGGTGGCTTGGCTCTACAGCCTTTGGTTTACCTTGAATATTTTCTCATCAATGGTATGCTTACTTCCCGAAGAATAGGGATAGCAGGAAATTGCTTAATTGTGGTGGTGACAATTGATAAATAAATGATGAATGGGTCAAAATGAGAGAATAATTCTTCATAACATGTAAGGATGAAGTGATGACAAACACCCTCTGGTTGCTTTTAGTCCTGTCTGGAAATAAATGGGCCCATATCTCTAGTTTACATGCCATTTACCTGTTTTAAATGTTCGTTTTTTGCAGATTGGCATCAAAGCAACTCACATTAAATTACCAAGAACAGCCACAGAAACTGAGGTGAGCTGTTAGGCATCAACTGTTAAGAGGGCAGTTGAAGAGCTTTCCTCTCTAGTTTTGGCACTTTAGAGACTGATAATGTTTAATGTATATACATCTCTAGGTAATTCTTTTATTCACAGACTCTGCCCCTTGAAAATACCCACCAAGTAAGTGGTTCAGTCCTAGGGTATGAACATGCATTATTCAAAGTGTGCTTTAGGTAACACTTGCTTCCAAGTCATCTGTGATGCTCATTGAAAAGTAATCTCTAAGTGAAGCCATTCCCAGAGGTCACCTTTCAGCCAAATAACATTAGCTTATAAATAAACACACTCGTGAATAATGTGCTCCCATAAACAATCAACTATAGGAGAACACACGGTCAACATTACCCAAAAGCAAAGATGGGAGAAGGCTAGGAGGAGCAGGGAAGCTAGATCAATGGAAACAGGACAAACAGAATGGAAATAATGAGAATGGTGACACACTGTGAAAACTATAATCAATGTCATAGAACAATCTGTATAATGTTAAATGAAAACCTAATTTGCTTTGTAAACTTTTACCTAAAACACAATAAAGTATTAAAAACGAGAAAAATGGTCCCTGGGTCTTAGCCTGTAGCTTCTTGCATTTTAAAATCCAAATGAGTATTCCATTTGTATGATCTTCAAGAATAGGCAAAACAAATCGATGATAGGGTTGCCTGTAGGTGGTGGGATTGACTGGAAAGGGCAAGAGAGGAAGGGAACTTTCTGAGGTCATAGAAATGTTCTGTATCTGTGGTCAGCACTAGTTCCACGTTAGGAGGAAGACCTGGCCATCTGCTCCGTAAACACTGTGGCCTAGCAACCCTGTGGAGCCAGTTCTTCTCTGTCCTGTTGGGTCACTGAGTCGGAGCCAACTTGATGGCACACAGCAAGAGCAGCTCCTTACGGCTTATTAAATTAAAATGGAATGAAATTTAAAATTCCATTTCTTAGTACACTAACCACATTTCCAGTGGTCAGTAACCACCTATGGCTAGGGATCATTATATACACATTATAGAACATTTTCACCATCACCCAAAGTAGTATTGGCTAGTGCTGCTCTATATCATGGTTTGGATGATGGTGACGTGGGCATTATTATTGCAGTACTAAGATATTAAAGTTCTTAGGTCTTTTATTTGATGGATTTCTTACCAGATACCTGGGGGATATATTTTATGTTAAAGTAGTGTTGTGTTCAGGATTCAAGAGGAAATACGTTTGAGAGGACTATAATTTAATTCTTGGGGGGAAATGGACAACCTGAGTATTTAGTTAGAAAGTTTTTCTTTGCCCTTTCGATTTGTATATGGTCAACAAATTGTATGTGTTATTACTTTTAGGTGTTAAAATGTGTTACATCTTTGAATGAAGACTCCACTGTGCATGGGTTCCTAGTGCAGCTTCCTTTAGATTCAGAAAATCCCATTAACACCAAAACAGTGATCAATGCTATTGTACCCGAAAAGGATGTGGATGGGTGAGTGTGGCTTGGTTTTCTATATTGTATCGCATGATTCCATTTATAAGGTACTTCTATTTTGGGACCACAGCATGTTTGCTTCTAAAAAGTAAAGAATCCTAATTATTTTCATCTATTTTACTATTTTAGATTGACTAGCATCAGTGCCGGAAAGCTTGCTAGAGGTGACCTAAATGACTGTTTCATTCCTTGTACACCTAAAGGATGCTTGGAACTCATCAAAGAGACAGGTGAAAAATAAACCAACAAAACCCAGAGCATCATTTCCTGGAGCCTGGTCTTGACACGTGGAAGTGTAGAGGAGCTACATTGTGGGCCATAAATACATGGACTTCCTTGGCACACAGGCCTGGCTCCAAGGGACTTCACCTAAATATTCACCGGGTTTTCTCAACAACTCTAGGAGTACATACTGTTGCTGCTCAACAGCTGAGAAAACAGGTTCAGAGAGATTAAGTAACTTGTTTAAGAGACTCAGCTAGTTAGCCATAGTGCCAAGATTTGACTCATGGTTATTTGAGTTCAAAGCAATTTCTCTTTGTAAAAAAAATAACCCATATGGTACTAAGAATTCAGAGTATGAAACGATGAAACCTTATACTGAAAAGTTCCCACCACTGAAATGGGCCCTGAGCCTCCATAGTCATTTTAGGGCTACACAGGTGGCTGGAGAAGACCCCTTTCACAGTTGGCTGGATTACTCCATTACCTAGTCATCACCTTGATTCTTTAATTTTATCATGAATACTTGAAAGGCATTATTTATTTATTTGTATTGTGGTTAAATACACGTAACATAAGCTTTACAATTTTAACCATTTTGAAGTGTACCGCTCAGTGACATTTAGTATGTTCACGGTGTTGTACAGTCCTCACCACTATCTAGTTCTAGAATATTTTCATCACCCCAAAAAGAAATTTCATACCCAGAAAACACTCACTTCCCATTATCCCCTTTTTCCCAGCTCCTGGCAATGAGTAATCTGCTTTCTCGCAGAGGTTATTTTTACAAGGTGGTGTATCCTGTTAAAGGAAGTGGGTCAAAAGTTTCAAGTAGAAAGTATTGGCCTGTTTTTTTCCCCCAAGCACAAATGAAAATTTCTGTGGTTGGCAAGAAAAGGGTCAAGCCATCAGCCTTGGGACAACTATTCCTGTTCTACCGACACTGAATTTATATTCTGCAGCATATTTAGCAAACGATCTATTACAACTTTATAAAAAACAATCCATGGAGCTGTAGCAGCTATAGTTTTCCGACTTCCTTGTATTGATGATAAAGCTGCCATTTGCCCTAATTGGCGAATCCAAAACAGTATAGTGAGGTAGCTTTTAAACACTCCTTAAATCGTGAGCTCTTTGCTTCTAAATGTTTATGATATGCACATTATATAAGAGTTTATCTTTCTCAGAGTAAGTTAAATTTACATAAGTAGCATGATTTTCAACACTAACCGCCTTCAGCCATGGCTGGATAGAGGCATTCAGACCAAGTTCTCCAGATCTGATCTTTGCTTTCTTTGTGGGTGCCTTCATTCTCAGGTTCCACTTGGTGCTTCTAGGCAATTCCATCCTTAGACCAAACAGTTGTGGAGTTGGATTTCATTGGCTGGGACTGAAAATTTGGTCACTTGTCTGCTATAGGTTGTGCACTCAAATCATCTCTGTTGAGTGGAGTGTAACAGTCCTGAAAAGGACATTGGCACATTGCCAGTGGAGTCTCTGGGTAATGCAAGAGTTAAGTACCCGCCTGCTACCTGAAAGGTGGTGATTCCAGCCCACCCACAGGCACCTCGGAAGAAAGGCCTGGCAGTCTGATTCCGAAAGGTCAAAGTCTTGAAAACCCTGTAAAGCAGGTCTACTCTGATCCACGTGGGGTTGCTGTGAGTCGAGATCTGCTGAAAAGCAGCTGACAACCACAGTGTTGCCAATGGATGCTAAATAGGCAAAAAGAAGAGCTTTCTACTACAGATGAGTTTCTCCTTTCTCACTTCCCTGCAAGTAACCCTTTGCCTCAGGCCCTAAGCCAAAAAGGAAATTTGGATTAGGAACTGCATATGTGTCCTTACTGAACTTGGAAAGAATTACCAATATTGATCTAATTTTCTTCTCTTCCATTCACCCCATTTACATTTACTCTCTTTGTTTTAACTGTTTTCCCATGTAAATTAATCCGATGCCGCCTTCCATATGGCTGTTTAGTAGTATGTTGAATTTTTTTTTTCTTTGAGTGTAGGTTTCTTCTTATTCCCTTATGACTCAAAGAATGGATCTTGGCTTACGCTTCTCTCTAAAACCCATGGCAGGAAGGCCACATGTACAAGTCTTAATTTGTAACTAAAAACCTAGAGTTGAGAATATTGTCACCAAAGAAGGAATATTTTCATGAAGGTTTCAGCTTGATGCTAAGAATCTGCTTTTGTGGATTAATTGTTCTGAATTTTCCTGTTTAAGTGGCACGTGAAGGAGGGCCGTTCCTTCTCCCAGCTCTGATGCATGCTGGCTTTTCTTTTAGGGGTGCAGATTGCTGGAAGTCATGCCGTAGTGGTTGGGCGTAGTAAAGTAGTTGGTGCCCCAATGCATGACTTGCTTCTGTGGAACAGCGCCACAGTGACCACCTGCCACTCAAAGACTGCCAATCTGGATGTGGAGGTAAGGGGTCAGAGTGGTGTAGACGCCTACTCTGTGCATGTACGTGTGTGCGCTCTTCCCATAAGGGGGTTGACTGACGTTTAAGTGCCAGGCACTGCCATGTATTTTACACTCATTTTATCTTTAACCTCCATGAGTCTTGTTTGGTTTTACAAAATGAGGACACAACTCATATTAAAAACTTGCCCAAGTTTACATGGCTAGCACACATGTAGGAGCCAAAGTTCATATGTTCTGAATGTGCAGCCTTCACCATTCTCCAGCTGCAGAATGTTTTCATCACTCCAAAAGAAACTGTGCCCAGTAAACAGCCACTTCCCATTACCCCCTTCTGTCCATACTCTTTTTACTCCAGTCCACCTCATGGTAAATAAGTCTTACCAGCATAGGTTCTGGGATTGCATATTGTCACCAGTGGTGGCCTGCTACCCAGAGGTACAAGTGCACCTGAGAGGTTGTGGACAGTGGTCTTGTAGCATCTATGGCAGCATGTTCTTGACCTTTGCATTGAATCCCTTAGCCCAAGAAGTTTCACCCATACATGTCCCTGTTAATAGCATAGGCTGCCCTGCTGGCACAGTAGTTAAGTGCTTGGCTGCTAACCAAAATGTCAGTGGTTTGAACCAACCAGCCACTCTGCAAAGAAAGGATGTGGCAGTTTGCTTCTGTAAAGATTGCAGTGTTGCAAACCTTATGGTGCAGTTCCATTCTGTCCTGTAGGGTTGCTATGAGTCAGAATTAACTTGGAGGCAACAGGTTTGGTTTTGGTTGGTTGGCAGCACATTCTCCTAAACGTGAGGAGACAGTGGGAGAGGGGCCAGCACCTTTTCTCTCTTTCCATTCTCTCAGAGTCTGTGTGAGGTGGGAGTACCCTCATTTGATAGGAGAGGGAACTATCTCCCATCTTACATACCTCAGGGGTAGTGTCCTGGGTCCGTGGCTCCCAGCCTATGCTACCCCTGCTCTGCAGGTTCTCATCAGTTTCCCCGTAACATCTGCAGTGGAAGGAGCTTCCTGGCAGGCTTTGGGGATGAGCCTGCACATGAAGGGCTATCAGACATGGTGTGCAGCATTTGGACTGTAACCTGTGAAATAGGTGATGCCAACTAAGAATTTGATGCAACATTCAGGGCTGCCCTTTACCCCTCTAGGTTTTTGTTTGTTCATTTCATTCTTTAATTTCTAAAGTCACTATTCCTTTTCTCCAGGTAAACAAGGGTGATATCGTGGTAGTTGCAGTGGGTCAGCCTGAGATGGTGAAAGGGGAGTGGATCAAACCTGGGGCCATAGTCATTGACTGTGGAATTAATTATGTTCCAGGTAAGCATTGCTGGAGGTAAGGTGGTTTCTGGTGGAGAAATAGGTGGAGAAAGGATTATGTCTGGGTCTTCAATAAAGTCTGTGAACCTGTTGTCTCTGTTTTATGCTTGACATTGTAAGATTTAGAGAGAGACTTGCTTCAGGGCACACACTTTTAGTAAATGATGTAGTTGCTACCTAGGGTATGCCCACCTGATGTCAGAACCTGTATTTCCAAGATACATAGCTTCCAAGGTGGTGTGGTCCAGGGAGAGAGGCTGGGAGGATGTGTCTTTATCTTCATGTAGAAGTCACCTTTTATTTTAACAAAGGTGAGATATAGATTTAAAATATAGTGTAATCCTTGTAACGGGCAGTGTGAGTCCAGAAGAAGGACTCCTCCTTGAAAGATCCTCTAGATCGGCTTTCTTAACTAAGATGTTTGACCTAGGCTTTCCTCCAGGCAGGGATAGATTCTCTCTCTCCTCTGTTGTGAGCATCACCACAGAATGTTACCCCCTTACCTGGACTCTTACAAACTTCTTACTGGTCTCCCTGCTCCAGCTGATCACCAGTCATGCCGATCTGCATGCTTGTGCCTTGCCACACCGACCTTGTGACATAGCTCTGGGACCTTCTTCTCCCACGTTATTTGCCAGACTCCTTAGCCTTACTCTGTAATTTCAACCCACTCCTGTAGCCTTTTTTGTCACTCACTTTGTGAATACCTATCTTAAACTTTTGTACAACAGGATGACTTGATGTCCCCTTCAGATGCTCATCTGTCCTTTGCACTTTCTATGCAGGCTTTCATTGGTGAAGCAGGCTGTCATTACATCAGGAAGTTTTTCAAACAGGAAACTTGAAAGAACAGTACAGTGAATACCTGCATAGGTCCCTGATAGATTGAAGAAAATAACAGCCTTTAACTGAGCAGCTATTTCTGTGGATCAAGCACTGTGCCAGATAGCGGGCTACACAATTGAATAAGGCTCAGCCATGACTTTCACCTTCAGCCACTTCCTTTCCTCCTCTCTGTCTATTAAAATGCCCTTTTCTCTTCCCAGGCCTTGTCTGATCATCCCTCAACAAGGGATGCTCTCTCCTTTTGAAAGTCTTGCATTTCCTCCCTCCCTTCCCATAGAATCTTGGGTTTCTTTTAGTGTATGTGTGTTGTGTTACGTATGGATCTGGGTTCTCTTCTGTTAGAATTGATTCTTCACAGGCAATAGTCCCTGTGGTGCCAAAACCAAACCAACTGCTGTTGAGTCAGTTCTGACTCATGGCAACCGCTTGCCTTTCAGAGTAGAACTGTGCTTCACAGGGTTTTCATGGCTATCGCCTTTCAGAAGCAGATAGCCAGGCCTTTCTTCCAAGATGCCTCTGGGTGGATATGAACTACAAGCCTTTCAGTTAGTAGGCAAGCGCTTAACCGTTTGTGCCTTCCAGGGCCTTGTCTGTGGTGTCCACACGTAAGCAGTGTCCAGCTTTATACCTTCTAATTCCTAACACTCAGTGCTGAATTGTTGAAGGGAGTTATAACATGAATAATCTTTTTTCTCCCTTCCCATCTCAGGTTTGAAATACAGACATTAAACTGCCAGGAACATTAGTCACTGTCAAGTCTTCACCATTTTTAACCTCCCTCCCACTCTCCCTTCCATGCTTTTAAGACAGTAGCTCATAATTGATCACTCATTTTCTTGTAGTGTAATTATCTAATAGGTGATAAAGAAATTGCTCTCCTACAACTCCTCACTTTGAATACTTGCAATATGACATTCATGCTCATTCTGTGTAAAACCTGGCATCTGTGTGATAGTTCTGCTGTTGGCGTTCTTTGGATTAGATGTGAGAGATGGAAGAAGGAAAACCTGGGTGGGATTTTGAGTCTTACAAACAGATAGGAAATGTTGACTTAAACATGAAACTTAGCATCCTGTTCACACTTATTCCTCACATAGAGGGTAAAATTTGTATAACAGAATAGCAGTATTTCTCCTGATAAACTATTTTTACTGATCATGGGCAAATAAATATTCATAAGGCTGGCTGACTTTTACTGTCTCCCAAACAAAAAACCAAACCGACTGCCATCGTATCGATTCCAACTCATAGCGACTCCTGTTGGGTTTCCGAGGCAGTAAATCTTGATGGAAACAGATTGCCCGGTCTTCCTCCTGCACTGTTCTGCAAGGGTGCCAAAATCACTATTGAGTGACGTTGAGCAGTGATTGGGGAACCTAAAATCTGTTCTTTGCAGATGTTCATTTTAGAAGTGCCACATCTCACAGCTGTGACCACTTCTTGATTCATATTTTAATTTAAATGATTTACATAGTACAGTCAGGGATAACAGCTTCAGTCACTTCCCAAATTAAGAATGAGTTAAGGGATGCATATTTTTTCAAAAAAAGAAGTATTTTTTTTAAGATTCAGGTGCAGAGCAGAAAGCTTTGGTCAGAGAAACATGTAAAAGTGTTCTTCACACTTGGCTTACTAACAGAAGTTTGAGAAAACCAAAAGCCCACCGCCACCAAGTCAATTCTGACTCACAGCTACTACCCCCACTGGGTTTCCAAAGTTGTAAATTTTTACAGAAGTAGATTGCCTCATCTTCCTCCCGTGGAGCAGCTGATGAGTTTGAACTGCCGACCTTGTGGTTAACAGCCAAATGCCTTACCCACTATGCCACCAGAGCTCCTTAGTTTGAGAAGGGCTATAAAAAGAAGGAACAGATTCCTCACCCTACCCCAGTCACTTCAGTGGTTTCTATACTGGGAATCCCAAATTAAGTATGAAGGAGTCAGCGTACTGCCAGTCTTAAGTTTTATTCATACATGCAGTTTCCCAATGAAAGGGAAATCTAGGGCCAAGGGTAGATAACCAAAATGTTTGTTCATTACTGAAACCATATACTTAGGTTGAAGAATGCTTGCTTTTTCCACTGTCCACATTACACTATCCATGAAACACTATGTATATATCAGAGGACACTCAAGTCCAGCCTGACAGTGTTTATGATAGATTGTTAGGGAGCAGAACTGAGCTCATCCAGTGCAGCCTTTAGTTCTGCAGCTGTTGGTATGTGTCTCCTATATATGGCAAAACTAAAACAACAGACATTAATGAATAGAAACAGGAGCAGGGGGTATTTTAAGCCAACTTCAGGGTTAGACTCAAAACTTGTACAAAGGGCAAACCATAGTTCCTTGGCATTGTGAAACTTGACTTTAAGGGTTATAAGAGAAAATGTTCTGTCCTTGCCTGCTGTTTTGTAATCTTCCAGAAACCTGAAACTATCCCAAGGAGTTGTGTTTACCAGCTCCTTATAGTTATCCTAGTACATGTAAAAAATAGCTGAAGTATCTAAGATGGGAAGAGAAATCCTTATGTTTGGAGAATGCTTTTCCATTTTCAAGAATGTGTACATTTTCTTGTTTGCTTCTCGACCACCTTGTGAAGTTAAAAAAAAAAAAAAAACCCAGTTGCTGTCAAGTCAACTCCGACTCACGGCAGCTCTGTGTGTCAGAGTACAGCTGTGCTCAGTATGGTTTTCAGTGGCTGATTTTTTTAAGTAGATCACCAGTCCTTTCTTCCATGGTGGCTCTGGGTGGACCGCAACATCTAGCCTTTTAGTTAGTAGCCAAAGGCATTGGTAGTGTTAATCCTTTGCATCTTTGGGCTCCAGGTAAATATGGAGTCCACAGGGGCTATGGACTAACAGTTAGAAGAAAGCTGATCTTAGAGCCTGGGTCTCTTAATTCTGGCTTCTTGGCCACTTCCTGAAGCTTCCTGTCTCAGTTTTGGAGTTCTGATCACAGAAAAGTGATGATGTGGCTCAGATTCTGCCAGATCTCGGGAGCTTCAGCGCTGCAAGGTCTAGCCCTGTCCCCAGCTCCTCCCAGAAGTGCACCAAAGCCAAGTGTAGGATGTGCTTTGTGCGAGTGAAAAATGATGCATCATTGGGTTTTGTTCTCCTGAATAGCTCTTCTGTGCTGGTAAGATTTGTAGTTGTTCTGTATCCTTTTAAGAGAAGTGTAATTATATTCTTTGCCTTTAGCATACATTTAAGTAGCTGTTCGTTTTTGGAATTAGATGTTGAATTGTTCCTCCAGCTCATGCATGGAGCTTACAAAATGCTGACAGTTGCTGTAGAAACGGTATCTGGCAGCTGTGACACAGTTGGAGCTTTATGCACCCAAAAAATTTCTTTGTAGACTGTTCCTGGTTACCTAGTGCTGCTCTGACAGGAACATACCACAAATGGGATGGCCTTAACAAACAGGAGTTTATTGTCTTATAGTTTGGAGGCTTTAAGTCCAAGTTCAAAGTGCCAGGCTCTAGAGGATGGAGTCTTGGGCTCCAGCTCTGCCTCCAGCTTCTGGCCACTAGAGGCTTTTTTACACTCAGCTGCTGGCTGCTGAGGCTGCCAAGCCCAAAGTTGACCAATAAAAAGGCACAGTCCCAATGTTACCAAATCACACGGCAGGCCATTAATTCAAGTCCATTGTAAGTCCCAAGGTTGGCAGAGCATGGCATGCTGTTGAAAAACGAATGACATGGCTACATGCAGGGTTCAAGTGTGGCACAAGCTAGAGACCATTCCCAAAACTTCTCCTTACATACAGGAAGCAGACCACATCCCAAAGGCAGCTACTCAGCTGCTTGTGGTAGATCCCACCATGGAGCTGATTGCGATTCTCATCATGGGGAATAACTACCACCAGCTGCCCAGCCACTCAGCCAGGCCCAGCCAAGTTGATATACAAATTTAACTACCACATAGACCTCACAAATTAGCATTTTAGAAGGTTTTCTTTATATATAGGGTAGTTGGTTTTAAGAAACGTTTGGTATTTTGTTTGCCATCTGATGGACTACAAAAGTACTCTCCTCTGGTTCTAAACAAACACTTGAGCATCTTGTGAGATTTTGCAGGTAAAGCATTTTCTCCCTAGGAAATAGCAAACATCTGTCATCCTGTAGCTTATAAATAAAGTAGGTACTTGAGCCTAATGGAACTACGAAACCTAATTTCTATTTCATTTCTGGAACAGGCTGTTGTAATCACTTAACTTAGAAATAAACACCAGGATTGCAATTCTGAGACTTGTCCTTGATTTTCCTCCCTTGACCAGATGATACAAAACCAAATGGGAAAAAAGTTGTGGGTGACGTGGCATACAACGAGGCCAAGGAGAGGGCAAGCTTCATCACCCCTGTTCCTGGTGGCGTCGGGCCCATGACGGTGGCAATGCTAATGCAGGTGCTGGTGAATAAATGCTTCTGTCATAGTTCTAGAGAGCTGATAGAATTCAAGTAAAATTCAAAGTTCAAGTTAGTGCTTTTCCCCAACTAGAAATACCCTAAGACATGTTCAGAAGCTAAGTGAGGGTGTGATTCTATTGAAGGAAAAAGAAAGGGGAATCGAAGAACAAAGAAATAGAACCAGTCCCATTCATGGAGGGGAGTAGAGATAGCACTATTCTAATTTGCTCTGGCGTACAGTAACTTCCCCAAAAAGGAAACAGCAAGCACATTGACCTTGCTAGATATGTTTCATCTTGCTTGCCCTGTTTCGCACATAAGCAGCCCCAAAGCATTTTAGGTGCCTGTAGATTCTTGCCTGGTATTGAAGCAAGTTTCTAGGTAGACCAGGAAGCAGTTAGTCTTGTGATTCAGCTGAAGTGGCCTGGGCTTTGGAATAGAGGCGGAAGTTAAAATCATTACCTCTTTTATGTTCCATTTATATCATTTTGTTTAGAGCACAGTGGAGAGCGCAAAACGTTTCCTGGGAAAATTTAGGCCAGGAAAGTGGGAGATTCAATATAACAACCTTAATCTCAAGACACCTGTTCCAAGGTAAAAATAAAATTTTACAGATTTAAAATGTGGAATTGATGGGTTTTAGCTGAGAGATACCATGGATACGAATATGCTTCCTTTGAAAGTACCATCAATGGTTGTCAAGTGTAAGTGTTACTATTATTGTTGGGTGCCATGGAGTCAATTTCAACTCTTAATGACCCCACGTGACAGAGTAGAACTGCCCCATAAGGTTTTCTAGGCTGTAATCTTTATGGAAGCAGATTGCTGGGTCTTTTCTCCCACGGAGCAACTGGCTGGGTTTGAACTACCAACCTTTTAATTAGCAGCCTGACACCTAACAATTGTCACACCAGGATGTTTCTAAAACAAATTCAAACTCATTGCCGTCGAGTCGAATTCGACTCATAGCGACCCCTCGGGTTTTCGAGGCAGTATCACTATGGAAGTAGATAGCACAGTCTTCCTTCCGAGGAGTGGCTGGTGGGTTTGAACCGCCAGCCTTCTGGTTAGCAGTCAAATGCCTTAGGCACTACGCCACCAAAGCTCCTAGGATGTTACTAGTGTGGGATTAATTTAATTCAGTGAATGAAGATTGATGTAGATTTTCTACATTTCTTTTAAGTGACATTGAAATATCACGATCTTGCAAACCGAAGCTCATTGGTAACCTGGCTCGAGAAATTGGTCTGTTCTCTGAAGAGGTGGAATTGTATGGTGAAACAAAGGCCAAAGTTCTGCTTTCAGTACTAGAACGCCTGAGGCACCAGCCTGATGGAAAATACATAGTGGTGACTGGGTATGGTTCTTAACTCATTTTGCTGATTGAATCTCCATACTATTATAATCATTGGTGTTATTGCCATGTGTTGCATTGGCACTTAGCACATATTTGCACTTAGCACATATTTGCACTTAGGACATATGTGAAAGGTTCGTATAATTTGGTTTTGACATTTTCACATATATTTCACTTGATCCTCACAACCACCTGTGAGATAGGATAGGTAAGAGTAGATTATAGTTTTTCAGAGAGGAGAAAATTGTTGGTCAAAGTCATTCAGGTAGTTAGTGGAAGGGTTGAATCTTGAAACCTGGTATTCAGTGAGAGCCAGGACAAGAACAGATATATGCACTACCATGTTTATTGCAGCACTATTTACAATAGCAAAAAGATGGCAGCCTAGGTGCCATCAGCAGAAGAATGGATAACCAAACTATGGTATATACACACAATGGAATACTATACAACCCTAAAGAATAATGTAGAGTCTGCAAAACACCACATAAAGTGGATGAATTTGGAGGACATTATGCTGAGTGAAATGAGTCAATCACAGATGGACAAATATTATATTAGTTTATTATTGTAAAAAGTCAAGGAAAGGTTTATATATAGAAGGAAAGTTTCTTTGTTGGTTACCAGGGGTGGGAGAGGAGGAGAAAATGTTCCATTGCATAAATAAATAAATAAAAATCTGGTCTTCAGATGGAATTGCTTTTCTTAGACCCAAAATTCATTAATTCACTAGATCTCTCGAGCAATTGTTTTTATTGTGGGGCTAACTTTTGAGGTTATACATTGAGAGGTTAAAGATAGCAGTGTCTCTCTGCAAGGTAAAGAATATTTGCTCCTGATGTGAGAAGAGCGAAGTACAGCAGTCTTCATTTACAATTTTGGAGAAGTTATAGCTAGGAGTCTTAGAAAAGATCCCTCTCAGGCCTTTTGTCTTCCTTATTACTGGGATTTAGAGTCATTCTGTAGGATATGCTAGGTCTGACTTAGTGACTCACATAAACTTAATTCTATATCTAAACCTTTATCTCTTTTGCTTTCATCTTGTAGAATAACGCCAACGCCCCTGGGAGAAGGAAAAAGCACAACCACAATTGGGTTGGTGCAAGCCCTCGGTGCCCACCTTCATCGGAATGTATTTGCGTGTGTGCGACAGCCTTCTCAGGGCCCAACCTTTGGAATAAAAGGTATTAGTGGGCTAGACCCTGGAGGTTCAGTTCTTCCTGGCCTACTTGACCCATGGATGTTTAATAGGGTCTTCACCTCATTTAGATACCAGGAATGTCCTCCTCCTACTTCCCTACTGTGTTTCTTAGGGGGAGGGTTTGCATCACATCATCCCAATCCTGCTGTCTATTCAACATTGAACAAGGGATGGGTAATACATAACTGGTCATGGTTTTATTTGACTAGCAGCAGCTGTCACGTTAACAATACAGATTGTCATAGCTCCTGATCATCATGCTGATTTTGTGGAGACAAAGACAAACCCACACATATTTCACCCTGCTGGAGATAAGAAGAGCCTGCTCTTAATGAATGTATGCTTCATGCCAGGTTTTGTGCTAAGTAGTTAGTGCACATTATCTCATTTTGTCCTCTCATATGAAATAGTGAGTTTTATCCCATTTTATAGGAGTGACAGTTGAGGCTTCAGAGGTAACTTGGTCAGACACCATTATCAAGTATTAGAATAGGGTCCCCATGTCTTTACTTCAGAGCTTATAATCTTAACTATTCCAAATTCTAAAACAATACTGTCAATGCAGTGTTCTTTATTCTGATTATATAAAAACACAACATCAGTAATTATACTTTACCCACAGCTTCTGAAACCTGCAGTACTGCAGATATGTTCTTAATCATTTTTATTAATTACCAGTGGACTTTTGAGGAGTTGGATTTCTCATTTGCACGGTCTCAGGGTAATCACACATTCTGCTTTTTCTAGGATTCCTAATGTTCACGCTGGGCACACCTTTGCTGTTCTGCCTATCATTTTGTTAAATTTTATAAATATGCTGACTCAGTTCTGCTTTTGAGCTTGTCTTAATCAACTTCAGAATGAGGCTTCTCGCTTGTTCTGCATTTTGAACCCAGTATTCTCCTTTTCCACTTGTTAATGAATACATGGTCTGTGCCTCACAAAAGCCACACAGTCTATACCCCAAATTGACCTTGGTCACACTGATAACCTGGTAACCTGGACTTTTTTGATGGGCCAGCATAGTCTCGTATTCAAGCTGTTTTCTAACACATACTCTATTTGGAAGGAGTTGTAGTCTTTGTGTTTGTGTTAGGTTTGTGTTTTAAGTACTCCTTTTTTAAAATGCCAGAGTAGCATTTATGAGAGTAGGAAATGGAACATATTAGCCTTCATGTAACTGTAGTCTGAGTCTTTTGACTGTCAGGAATCATGCGTGGAACCTGTTTCTAAAGGTAATGAGTATGTATGAATCCGTGGTTTTGTCATTTAAACTCAGATTTCAGTTGAGAGCCTGTGTAGCCTGAACAAGTGTTTTAGCCTAGATCCCCGCCGCTGTCCTCGCGTTCCCGGAGGGCGACACCGCGACCCTCTTTTCCGTGTGAGCGCGTTGGGGTGTGGCGTCGTGGGGGTGTTGGGGCCCGAGCCCGTGCCTCTGCCTGCTTGCAGGCCCGTGGACGCTCTGGCGCCCGCCCCC